CGCCCGCACCCTGCCCCACCACCGCGGAGGGAAAGCGCGGGTGGCATCCTGCCGCTCGCCTTGCTGCCACCTGTCCCACAGATGCGGGAGGGGTGAAGGCAGCATGTCGTCGTCCCGCCGCTCCCAGCCTGGCTTTGGGGCAGAGGAGAAGCCCTGCCAGCCGGCCCCTCACCGCAGCGTCTTGGCGGGGGGATGGGACCCGACCCTTGTCCGCACCGTCTGGTAACTCCTCTAGAAAAGAAAAAGGCGCTGGATGCTCGGTTGCCTCGCGGCTCTGGGTGCCAAGAGGACGTTACCCGTGCTACAGTCTGTGTTATTTATGACTATTTGTCTTTAGAAGAGCAAATATATTGAGCAACCCTTAGTAACAGAAGACTTAGAAATATGTCAGTGATGATACAATTACCAAATTATGTGAAGAATTGCAAGTTCGAATCTTGGCATAACTGGTTTTGAGAAATGAAAAACACTCTCATCTGAAACGAGCCCTCCAAGGTAGTTTTGCTTCCTCAGTTGCTAACTGGAAACAGAAGGAGCACGTTCAGTGTGAAAAGCTGGCCAAAGCCCCTTCCCGGCTTGCCCTGTCCTCTGCAGGGACGGTCTTCAAACCATGCCCCAGGAGCTACTTGCCAAACAGGACACCATCTCATGTTGTTTCCAGAAAATCAAATAATTGACAAGGAGAGTGACGGAGGCTTACGGAGTCCACACGGCTGATGCTGTTGTCTGCACGGCCACGGAGGCTCTGTACTGCTGCCCAGGATGTCCCCAGTAAGTCAGGCTTTTGGATGACTTTCCAGATGTGCTGCGTGGCGCACAGCTAATTCAAACAGAAGCATCTGAAAACTGCAACGGTCCGGCCTGAGAAAAACTTCCTTTGATCCTAAATGTTGGTGAAATTTATCTTGTGCAAGGCAAAAACCCCATAGCATCTGCGGACGACAGCATCTCTGGGAGAAGGAGGTTCTGTCAGGGCCAGCGTGTATGCAGCTCGCACCTGATCCTGGTCCACACCGCTCGGGGTGTTCACGTGTGCAGCATTAATATCTGACTTACGCTCCACTTGCTCTGATTACTGAGCGCATCTCTTTTTACTCGGGCACAGGCGGACTTTATTTATTCTTTTCTCTTTTATAAATGGTGCTCCCTTCCCATGCTTGTTTGCCTCCCCTGGACGCCCTGCCACAGCCACTGCCCTGCCCCATGCAGCCCTCTCCTGGAGAGGCAGGCGTTATCCCTGCTCGTGTCCAACATAGGGGCCACTTTTACATTTTGCTTGCAATAAAGCAGCTATAGCAAAAGGCAAAAATCCCAAAGGGTGTTGGACACACAAAACTAGTAGACCTCCCAAAGGCCTTGCTGAAATACATGTTTTTATACAGGTACCTGGGGTGTGTCCCCTAAACCTGACTCTGTGGCAGTCCTTTCCACTCCCAGCAGTTTGATGCACTCAGTCCTTTTAAATATAGAGAGAATGCATTTAGGCGCATGTTTTAGGAAAAAAGTTCATAATCTTGCAGTTTACAGTCTCAGTCTACCAGAAGATTTTTTCTTTTTATGTACTAGTGTTTGGAAATGAAAACATCTGATTGTACTCAGGCTTACTGTTCTTTTCACATGCAAAGTTAGAGGCCCTGGGGAGAGGAAGGCAGAAGAAAATGGTCAGGGCATGTGCCTGGGGCTTGGGAGACATGGATCAAATCCCTGTGCTGCCTTCTCATGTCTCCACATCAGTGTAACTAACTGAAAATAGAAGCATTTCTCCATCTTGCAATGCCATTCTGAGGATAAATATCTTGAAAAATGGAGGAGTCCAGATACTGTCTTACATGGTTGACACTGCTGCTTCTGGTTCTGTGTCCAGATTTCAACTTTAAATGTTGCATGAGACAAAAAAACAGATACATCTCTGTTTATGTAAGATAACTGTCTGAGTAACCTTGTTGTGGTGCTTCTGATGGCCTCAGAAGAGCCATTATATATATAGATGTTTTTCTTTTGAGCAATAATAGAAATTAATCTCTATTATAAAGGGGCAAATAATGCCCCTTTAACATTGAGACTAGTGCTTTCAGAGTTAAGAAGCTGGGGGAGTAGTGAGTGTAGACTATCCATGCCATGTAGGGATAGTCAAATAAGCTTTGATAGTAGTTAGGAGTGTCTGAAGCACTGATAAGCCAGAACACAATACGTTGACCATGTAACCAACCATATCCTAAGCAACTCGTCTCTTCAGCCTTCCTAATATTTTGCTGCAGTTGTGCCTTACAGAAAACAATTTTCTGCTGCAGAGAATAAGGTTACAGAGTGCTTGCCAGTAGATCCTCACATGTAAATTGGTAAGTCTTCATGAAGATAACCTGAACAACTTTAATGTTCAGTATATTTAGTTCAAATTGCAGGGAGAAATGCACATAATGGCGTCTTCCATGCCTGATTCTTGTCACTGCCCACAATTTTAAATTTAGTTGGGCAAATACCTTAGAGCTGGTTAAAAGAGGCTTGAAGTAGCAACATATATACATTTCTTTTCACACATCCCAAATATATTAAAGTCATTTTTGCAAAGGTCACAAGTGGGATGGCTACCTTCATACTTTGAGCCAAATAATTATAAATTTGGCACGATATTGATCCAACGTACTGATTGTACCAAAAATGGAGGGAGTTACCGCCAACACAAAAGTCAGTGCAAGAGCATGGAAAGGTCAAACTGACACTGGCAGCCTGTAAATCTGGAAAGCCTTTCTGTGCTTCACCTTAGAAAAATCACATAGTCACCGTGCATCTTGGTTTCCTCATTTTTAAAAGAGGATAGCACTTCATCACGTGTGTATCCTGGAAACATGCTGGGTGCAATGAGCTGGCTGCGAGCAGAGGCTGGACTCCCCCTGACTTCGGGGTAGCCATCAGGCCGGGCACACAACTGGAGCATAGCTGCGGGAGCCATGGCCCTGAGGTGGCCAGGCGTGCCTGGGGACACAGGACTACGAGCTCCGGAGCTACGAGAAGTCACAGGCACCATGTTGCTGAGGGTCTGTGGGGCAGGGCTGCGCTCACGGGGGTAGGGTTTATTTTGGAAGCCTCTCGGTTCAAACTTAAATAGTCAGACTAAAAGCTTCCCACGTATCAGAAATACTGCTTTTTGACAGGTTTGGTAGTAGCAGTCTTTCAGGGGGCTTGACCTGCAGGAAAGAAAGTCAGATATCAGGAGAAGAAGTGCTAGCATTTGAGATGGTGAAGCTGTGGAACAGGTTCTGAGATTGATCATCAAATCTCCTTTGCTAGAAATTTTAAAAAGCAGAATAAGGACGCGGTAGGTGTAAAGCGGATCGATATTACCAGCTTGTAGGCACAATACTTGAAGTACCTTCTAGCCATACATTTGTATAATATCATCGATGAAAGGCAATAGTAGTGCAATAGAGAGGTGAAGAATTTAGAGGAAAGGTGAGATGAGGAAGAGCAAAGCGGCACCAGGCTGTGGTTAGCGCGTTACATGGGTCCTGTGCTGGTGTAGCCAGTTTGGCAGTCACAGAAAAAAAATCTCAGTTATGGGACATGTCACCCAGGGGCATCTTCTCTCTGTCCCTCCTTGTGCATTGCACATCCTGAAGCACAGGCACTTATTGGTTTTGATTTGTTCAACTTTTCATCTTTTGAAGATAGAGGTTGTTGTTACTCTTGATCAAAATTTTCTTCTCTAAGTTATTGATCTGAACAATCATAGTGTAACACACAAATTTTGGTACTTGGGCAGGAGTACCCAACAGATTAAATAAAAATGTGCTGAATTAACCCTCGTGTACAACAGTGGACTACCATATTGTGATCTCTATTTAGATTTTTTCCACATAAAAAAAATCACTACACATCCACTGTTTCATAAATTGCAATAAACATTTTGAAACACTCTTTAAATATAATTTGTCCTTGTCTCAGAAATCTCTCTAAACCCCACCCTTCATTAATGACAGCAGTTTCCCTAGTAACTAACATATTCCAAAGTTTAAAAAAAGAAGAGACAATCCAAATAAATGAAAACAAGCAGAAAACAAGACAAATGATAAGACTGAACCTGTTTGACAGACACCAAATATGTCCCAGTCTGAGGTACTCTGGAGTTTTTATTGCTGCTTGTTTTGTAATACTGTTCTCCCAGACTCACCTCAATAAAAAATTTATTTCACCTCACACTGTCTGGGCATGGCTTGCTTCAGAGGGGGAGCAGGGATAGGTCCAGACCGCAAAATCCGTGTCTAACTAACTCTAAAGGCTTGGTAGCCTGCGGAGCCAAGGGGCACTGACTTCTTTATAGTTAAGGGAACGAGTCACGATATGTGCCTCCAGGTCAGACATCCTTCACAGCTGGCCAATACATTTAGGCAACCAGATTCATATTGTGCACCCTACTTTTTCAAACAGATGTAGGGAACTGATAGCTCCTGATGAAACGTAGCTTACACAAGTGATGACAAAGTTGGGTGACATGGAGGAAAGGGCACTGAAAGATTTATCTGAAATGAAAAAACTGAAAAGTGGCTGGAAAAAGCACCCTGAGCATATGCATATGAGAAACTAGATCAAGCAAAACACTTGTGGGACTGGTGCAATGCCATTAAGAGACCTAGCTCACAGGCAAAGAGTACAGAAGGTTACATGCAGCTGCTGTGGTCTTTGAGGGCATTTATCTATACCGCCCATAATCCTATATGCTCAAAAAAACAGAGTATTGACGGGGCATGAAAAGCTGCCAACCAGAGAGGTAGTGAGGTAGTTTGTAGGAAGAGGTGACCCCTTTTATTAGATCAATGAAACAGTGGGAAAAAATAACAGTTAAAAAATAACAGAATAGCAACAAGCTTCTGGGCATAAAAGCCCTTCTTTTGGTCTCAAACAGGAGTTGAAGAGGGAATCAGAGTGGTAGCGCGCTGACATCCACTTTGCAGCAGGAACGGCCCTTTGCCAGAGGCAGACAGAGAGAGGAAATTTAAATCCAGTCACCGTAAAGGGTACAGGTTAAAAAACACCTCACTGCTGCAGTAGTCCAGGTTCAGACCTCGCCGCTCATCTTCCAAGTCCCGTCCGTTTGCTTTCGGTGGCGCCGAGCAGTGGTGGTGTTGGTGGTGGTGGTGGGGGCTGGCTGGGACAGGGTAGGACTCCTGCTGCGCCAGGTGGTAGAGCGAGGAGGGGAGGCAGATGCCGCCGCTGGCCGGATGGGGTTTTCCCTCGTAGGACGCATGCCCGGCAGGGCTAGTGTTGGGCCTGAAGGGGTCATAGCTGCCCTTGGGTGCAGGCTGGATGCCGGCGCGGGTGCAGAGGGGCTCGCCGGGCAGATGTGCTGGGGCAAGCGCAGGGCCACGGCAGCCCTGGGGCGCAGCCGGCAACCTCCCGCCCGCCCCGCTCTTGTCCCAGCGCAGCAGCCCGCCAAAGCCACCAGAAAGGCCACAAGCTGGGGGCGCAGCTGTGGCCCCCGGCCCGCTGAGCTTGTCGCAGCGCTGGCTCAAACCTGTGCCCTCAGCGTCCACCCCCAGGTACGGCGACTGCCCCGAACTGCTGCTGAGTATGCGCTCCGGAGAGCTCCTGCCTAAATGTCGGCTGAAATGGCCAGGGAGGACATAAGCTTCCGGCTTGGAAAGAAGCATAGGCAAAGACTCGTGGGTCTGCGTTTCACCTGTTAGACACTTAGGAAAGCAAGGTGTAGTTTAGCAAGGAAAAAAAAAAAAAGGTAATAGTTTAGTAATACAAACTAAAAACCCTCCTGTAGAAGGCCCTTACGAATGCATTTAATTAGTGCAGATAATATAGATGGAGTTGTAGAGTCTTCCCTTAGAGCAGTCGTAGTGGTTTTTAGGGGCAAGCTGAACATCGGTTCCAAGATCACAATTCTGGATTCAGTTCACCATTTTTTTTGCCCAAATCCTATTTTTAATTAAACCCATTGGTAGATCTATCCTTTGCAGCTCTCCGAATCAAGTCTCAGCATATACTAAGGTAACCCCTGAAAATGGAGTATTCTCGTATAGTTGATATAACAGAATTTAAATAATTCCTATGGGGTTTAGAAAAATGAAATAAGATCTCTTTAATTTATTTTTTTTTGAAGTGACTATTTCACTCTAATAATATTACTCTTCAGTTTTTCAAGAATCTTTACTGCAGTTTTTAACTGATTAATTTTCCTGCATTTAAAATTTTTGCTCCATGAATAGAAATTGCATTCAAAGAAGGAGCAGTACACTAGAATTATTCTGCTAGGCATTTTCTTCCTGCATATTTTGCAACTTCTTTAAATGCCCTAATTATTAGATTATAATTCTGCACATCTTAATTCCTTGCAAAACATCCATTCTGTGCTATCATTTATGATTAGGGCTTATAGGTCTCTGGTCTTTGCAGTTCTGCTTTTCCACCCCCTTAATTATAGTGATTTTCTAACTTGTTGACTGCAAGAGTAGCAAAGCTCCTTTGAGCTATTCTCAGCCTACGATAAGGAGAAATTCCAATGACCTTAGGTAGGACCCAGCCCTTCTTCAGCTGAAGAACGGCTCACGCCTCACAGAAAACATCCTATATATCACTTGATCAATTTTTGGCTCATGTATTTTCTGCAGTTCTCCTTTCTGCTCTCTTGTAAGCACATTGAAGTAGAGTCTTTTTTAAAAAGACTTCTGCCAGCTTCAGCGACACAAACATTGCATCTGAAATCGGATTCCTGAGTTTGTCCTATCCTAACTGGTCATGGCAAGAAGAAGAACATGATGGATTACTCCCGAAACAAACCTGCTTAAGAGAAATAAACTAGAACGCCATGGTGTAATTCTGAATCACTGGAGCAACTACGCAGAGTCACCTGAAGAGTCGGTTCAAAGATTATACATTTCTAACATCTTTGGTGCATTCCTTGTCCCACACAATTTGAAGTAAAAACACTAGGAAGATGTTGTAGGAAGGGAAAGATCAAGACCTGTCTAGAGGAACCTGCACCTCAGTAAGACCATTTGGCCCAAGTATAAAAGAAACAAAGCCACCCGGCTCAATAACATTTCCCAGATTAGCATTATTTCAGTGCTCACAAGGACAGAATTAAACCTGCAGTATGAAAATTATTGTTCCTGTATTTGAGGGTGCCTTAGCTCCTCTGTGGCATCTTCTCCATATTATTGGAGACTTTTGGGACACGTATTGATATGGAGAAGCGTGATCCCATCTGCAGTACTGCAAGCAGGGAGCTGGTGGCAGGAGGGAAGCGGGTGCTGTCGCAGGCTCCCTGGGTGATCCCATCCCTCCTGACGAACTCTGATGTCCACCCTGGGTATCTGCAGGCTGCAGGGGCAACACCCTGCTCTGGGCGCACTTCTCCCACGGGGAACCCCCAGGTTTATTTGGTGGGTATCGAGTCTGCCAATAAATCAGCTGTTGAAGAAACTGGGTTTTCTTAAGCAAAGGTGGGGGGGACCGGAGGAAAAAAGGCTTGTTAATGACAAGTGTGTTCTGTCGAGATATCATATGCAGTATATAATAAGTATATCATATAAGTGATGTTAAATACATTGTACACTATAGAATACATCGTATTCTATAGCAAAAGAGTGTACGGTGTGTGTTGCGTTTGTGTGTACACATATACAAATCCTCCTCCTGAGCTTAGTTATTGCCGAAAGGATTTCCTGGTTTTCAAGTGTTCATTTGTTACAATTTTCTTCTAGGGTAGTGCAATCCGTATGTAAGTTAAACCCGGTTAAAACTTCCTAGCCGTTCTCCTTCTGTCCATACTGATAGACTAAATGTCTGTTTTCTTTATGAATCATGTTGATCCTGGAGCAGAACTAACAAATAACTTGCAGGAAAGTTTTCTAAAGGCAACTCTTGCATATAAGCAGGGAAAGATTTGGGGCGCTAAAGCTGTGTCCATGCTGCTAAATAAAACAAGTCCAAGGACTGTCATCAGGGACTGGATCAAAGGCATGGCCTGGCTGCATCCGCACTACACCCTGGCCTTGGGTGACCTCTGGACCTGAAGTGGAACAAAGTGAGGGGCACATTGCAAGCCCACCGAAGGGAATTCTCACAGAATCAGCTTGGGATTCGTATAGCTTGGCTTGTGGCACGATGGCATACAGGGGCACGGGAAGGTGCAAGGCCAGCTGTATGTGGTGAAGAGATCCAAACCTGGTACAGCGTGTCCAGACTCTACCCGGGAACGGTCCCCCGCACACGCCATCTACCTGACTCGTGCCCAGGCATTTTGTCCACGTGCACTAGCTTGCACTGACCAAGACGACGTCCGGGCCCCTGTGAGGGGTGACATAATTGAGCCTGGTCTCTGACGCTGTCTTGATCCTCAGCATGGGCACAATCTCCTGCTCCCATCAGGCCCAAAAGGGTTGGCCGCTGCAGCCCAGGGATGCTGATGGGGAACGACAACACTGAGTCAAGCCGCCAGGGAGCTTGGGACAGTCCTGCTCATGCTGAGCCCCCCCTCTGCCTGTCTGATCCCAGGGCAAAATGCAGAGACGCAAAGGCTTGTCATGCCCAGAGCCAAAGCCCAGATAGCCTCTGCAGTGAAGCTCCTTAGACCATGGATCACTCACCGAGTAATGTAACATATCAATAGTAAAAGTTACCTCAATCTCCCGAATTCTTTTAAATCTTGGACAGGGGTGAGAGAGAGCTGTCTGTGCTTTTTGGATTGATCTTCTTGCTTCTGCTTCTAGTTTTGTTTCTGGTCGGGGATGATCATGAGCCCCTTTGGACTTTAGAAAGGAATTGTGATATGTTAAACTTAAAAGTAGAACCTTGTTATTAATCTTAAGGGGGGAGAAGGATTTGTAGCACAGGCCAAGAATAAATATATGGGCTGGATTAATGCTTGTTATTTAATTAGACATATTTAATATCAGCTCAAGTCACAAACATATCTCAGATGAAGTCTGATAGGGAAGAAATTTTCTGAAATCACAAAAACAGAGTAGCACATATGCGTGCGGAAGAGGCTTCCCACACTAGGGACCCAATTGAAGCCACGAGGTCTTTTGAAGCCTAGTTACAGCATCCTTGCACAATTGGTTCCACTCATTTCAAACTTCAGACAGTGTTTATCAGCACATAAATTTCCATTAGATTCTATGGAGAATTAATTTTATTTAATCTGCTTGTAAGTGAAAGGCAATCATAAAGTCTCAGTACTGCTGGCTAGCTCCTAAGGAGGTCTAATCTGCTGGAAAACAGGACAGTCCAGTCCAGTGTGTAGCATACTAACCTAGGACTACACCTTCCAAAAATAGTGCCCATTATTTAAACATCAGACTACACTAGTTTCCAGGTAAAAGTTGCACATAATGTACACATGTTTTTTTCCATAGACAATCCCTGGGGTACAACCATTTCCTACTCTAAGATATCTTCATACCTATATGTGGTGCCCTGGAGAAGGGGTTAACACAACATGGCATTTCTGATTCTTTGAGGATCTGTTGTTTCCTGTGTGCGTATGTCCAGTCATAGAACATAAAAGTACAGACTAATTTAGATTGGAAGGGAACTCTTGAGGTCTAGTTCAGCCTCTTGCTCAAGTAGGGCTAACTTCAAAGTCAAATCAGGCTGTTCAGGAACTCGCCCACTCATTGTGAACTTTTTTCTCCTTGCAACCATTTAACTTTGTCATATTAAATGATCCTTATTAGTTGGAACAAACAAAAGTCTTCCTTTAGTCCAAAAAGCATAGTCTTTATAGTCTTTATAATCAACTTGCATAGTATAAGGTAATTTTATACCAACCTGAAAGAATATGAATTGGCCTTCATGCCTCCAAAAGTTGGTAACTGGGTAACCGCCATGGCCTCGGCAGGAAATGAGCCTCAGGGGTCCACTGCAGTTCGGACAACATTTCCCTGGAACGTAGGTAGTAATATAGAAATATTTTCTATGCGGTACCAAGTCAGATAAATCCTAGCTGGGACAACAATTTGTGAGCAGTGGAGTGCTGCTCTTTTTTTCTGGGCTCAGAAACGACATTGAGAAAAAACTAGGCAAAAAACTTTCAAATATACAGAAAATTTAACCTAAGCAAATTAATTATTACCTTTATTCTACTTCATTTTTAAATATGACTGGCAAGGATTATTTCTAGTATAGCTTTATCATTTAATATGGTCAGTTATGCCCAAGGAAAGGGCTTTTACCTTTGAAGGTTTTTGAAATTTTTCTTTCAGTTGTTTTTAACTTGGAATTTTCTGGAGTGTTCTTGCTCAATTTTTCTAGAGGACACCTTTCTGACCTCAGTGAAATCTCGATTAAAGTCTTTCTTCATCCAAAATATTCATCAGTTCCAGAAACTAGTATGAGCTAACTCTACTCAACTATCAAAAAATTGTTTGAAATAGTCTCATTAAAAATGTCTGTCCATCTCCCTTACTCTACTTGCATAGTCTTGTCTCTTGCGACATTCCTATTCGGTCTACTTTTCAGTCATCATAGTTTATGAGCAATATCTTTCCTGCAAGACTTCCCTGAGTTACGTGTGGGCCCTTGAAATAATGATGTTGACACTCAGGTCAGTGGGAGCAGCACAGCAGAAAGCTGCTTGTATTGCCTCACTTTCTTGGTAGCCTTGCTCACGGGTCTGTGAAGGGCAGGAGCCAAAGCGTTACCCATCTTCCATCAGAAACAGATTAAAATTCTAGCGTGGAAAACAGGACTGAAAACAGAACACCTTTTCTTCCGGGAAAGATATTTCTGCAGGGTAAAGAGAGGAGGAAAAGTTCTGAAACAAATTATTTTTGCCTGGAGATCACCTTTAAGTTAAGAAGTGTTTTCCTGCGAGCATCCTGTGCACAGAAGCAGGAACTCACCTGCCCCTCTCTGAAAGTCAGTGCTCAGTGGCAGCTGGCCAAATACCACACAGGAGTTTCTGCCATTAACCAGGCTGCAAAAAATATTTTCTGACAAGTCAAATTTCAAAAAGGAAACAACCAAGCAAACGCCTCAACAGTAATAAATGTAAGACGTGTTGCTCCAGAAATCAAGAGCTACGTTTGGCTATAGGGAAAGGCAGAAGAAAGAATGGCTATTCCAATGGCTCTCCTCTACCTCAATGTCTTTTATGTTATATTTACTTATTAACTGTCCCATAATAAAGAGCCCAAGGCTGGTGTTGCTGCCTTCACATAGTCATACTTACGCTGTTGTTTTTGCCGAGCTTTGTCACATATGGCTGGTCTTAGATAGATCTTCCTCCCATCCAGGGTTGAGCAGTCATTGCCACAGACCACCACCCCAAGGCAGGACTTTTTTAAGATGCGAGAATTATGGTTGTTGGTGTTTCTCATTGCCCAGCTACTATGGTGCCGCTGAGCGTTTTTATCCTCGGAGCTATAGATATGTTTTACATAGGAGTCTGGCCATTCTTGAAACCAGTCTGTCTGTTTCACATCCTGTTAAGAGACCAGCGAAAGCCGTATTTTAGGCCGGGAGAGAAAAGGGCTTGCGTATGAGCCTAAAGGACCTGCTCTTCCGCTGGATCCCATCTAGCCGAGGCCACTCTCACACTGAGGAGATGGTGCTGGTTTGTGGCACCCAGGAGGGGACAGCAGAGGGGAACATGCAGCTCCCCTTCGATCCTGCAAGCCGGAAAATCTGGCCAACAGGCTGCTCTCGCTCTCTCTCCAGTCCAGCTCCGTGCACAGCTGCCCCAGCAGAGGAAGGTGAAATAGCACATACTTTCCTTGCACGCAGCAGTCACACAGCTGACTAACTTCTATTAGCTTTCATGGCAGAAATCTCACTTTGCAGTTCTGGCCGTTAACAACAGCGTTATACTGAATCACTTGGCTTGACTCACTGTGGAAAAAGGACACCTACTGCATCAGGTAGAGCATATTCCCAAATTTGTAGGGCTTCAATTCTAGGATTTTGGTTCCTTTTGGCGTGAGTGTCTTGAAAGATTTCCACAGCAATTTTTATGAAGTCCAAAACAAAGAACATCTTGGTCAGGTTTTATTTTCACTATCATGGACAAAACAAAACAAAAAAACCCTCTAATACTTTTAGTAAAAAATACTCAAAAGAGCAATAAAAATAAAACTACATTAAAAAAAAAGACAAAGGGCTAACTGCACATTACCTCAATGGCTAGAGCCACAGTAAAATGCAGTAAGTTATAAAGCATGAAACATGCTCTATGATAGTTTTTGAAGGAAAAAAGGCTAGTGATAATAGGAATACAAAAAACTTGGTAGGACCTTCCTTGAAACTGCTGATTCCAGCCTTCTCAAGCCATTATGGCAACAGGAGTATGAACTAAGAAGAGAAAAACTGTATTGCCTGTTCTCACATAGGAGCCATCCGAGAGCATAGGGATGGCTGTGGGGAAACCTCCTGGCTGAAACGCAGGGAAAGGTGACCTTGGGGTGGAGGGCAGCAAAGGAGGCAAGCCTGACTGGACAAGGAGGCTTTGGGTGAGCAAAAGTGATTTAATAAGGAAGGGACTGGGATCAGGTAAGGAGACAGAGCTGGGTAGTGAAGGGGCCCAGCAGGAAGAATCCGCTATAAATATGCCAAGGTGAGACATGAAGCTGGGATATGGGATGCCTTGGGTTTTCAGTGGAGAGCATGAATGAGATTTTTAGAGAGAGGACTAGAAAAGGACTCAGTGGGGGAAAGGTCACTCTTCTGCCCCTGTCAGCAAATCTCTGTAAAACAGACTTTCACAGCCTGCATGAAGCCAGCTTTTCCTAGGTAGCTGCAAGAGGAGCATTGCCTCTATGTGGAAAGTCAGCCCAGCTTGCCTGGATGCACATTCGTAGCAAGGCGCAATGCAGCTCGTGGGTGCTGCGCTCAGTCCTCATAAAGCACTGCCCACATCCTGGACATTTCCAATTGAACATCCAAAGCAGGAGATAATTATTTCCCCTGCTTTCTCTTCATCTCATCCACCAGTGGACTAGAAAGGCAATGAATCTGCAGCATCACTATTTTTAATGCATAAACAGTTCTTTCAATAGTACACTTAAGGAAAAATGCCTGGGAAGCTCAACATTTCACAGGATGTTGTCTAGCTCTTCAGCAAAACACTGTGCCATAGCTCAAGGCGGCAAAGAGAGTATAAAGCCAATGAGGTATAGATCACGGAGAGAGTATTTCAGATCAGTGGTGAAGTGAAGGAGCCAAGTCAGGATTGGATGAATTTCTAAGACACAGACACATACATACCTGTGGAAGTTTGATGTCATTGATATCCCAACTTGCCATTTCTCCATTTCGGGAAGTGGAGTCCTCCTGTTCCATAACAATATCATCTGCACTGTTCAGCATTTTTGAATTCCTTCCCAAACTTCGCAAGAAAGTCTCTACTGGCTGCTTTTGAAGTTGAGTGGCTGTCAGCACTCTTGAGCAGTTTACAACCAGGAAGCTGCTTCCTGAAGCTAAATGATAGAGAGGCTGCTCATTAAAGATAAAAATCAGTGTTCTTCTGCCAGAAAAACTTGTTCCATTAAAAGCTTTGCAAGCCAACAATGTAGTGGAAAACATAGCTAGAGACAGAATGGCATCTTACAGAGGCATCGGTAAAGGCAAGCAAATCATGCCTTTGCCATCTGCCTGGCTTTGCTCATTCTCCTCTCACACTGGGTTTATAGTCTTGTAACTCTGCTAACAGACTCTTTGTACATGGGATTAGACTGAGGCTCAGTATCTCCAGAGCTGAACCAACCGGCCAGCTCAGCCCCTGCTAGGGGCTCTTTCAGTCGTTGCCCACCCATTAAACTCTCCTCATACTGCACCCGGCAAAGGCGAGCAACGAGTGGGGACTACTATATTGCTTCAGATGAAATATCTCTCAGCCCTTCCAAAAAGTGCTGGCACCTCTGAGAGCTTATCAGTTACATGAAGGATGGGAAGTGTAAGAAAGGAGGTTGGGCTACCTGCATTTTCATATCTCAAAAGCAGACTGAAGGGGAAAAAAAAGAATGGCATGGTTGTTAAAACCGACAGTTCTTGCCTGGAGTCTTGTAAAGTGGGCAGTTGCCCTCTTTTGAATTTCAGTATCAGCTATCCCAGGCATAAAAATGTTTAGGGGGTTGTTTCCTTTGGCAGAGATCACTCTTACTGAGAGAAAAGGTGAATCAGAACATGGACAGGCCAATTTTATGCTTCTGGAAGGTGAAATAGCTTCAATGGTTTCAGAGACGTCCCTGTAATTTACACTAATTAAGGATTTGTTAAAGGCAGAGGAGGGAGAGAAGAAGCAAAATCTGCTGGATGTAATTCTATTTCATATACTTGTTAATATTAAGAATAATTTATTTTATTGTTGTTTCTAACTCTGCATATACACAGCCCTTTGAGAGTCACTTAATCGTCATGTCCTTAGTTTACTTATCTGTTAAAGTACTTGTGATTTTAATTTATTATGTTATACTACCATCCCTAAAGCAAGAGTTTGTCAATACTTGCAAAGCGCCCTGAGACCTTTGGCTGTGAGATGCTGCAGTGACATCCTCAGTGCCTCACTTTGGGCGCAGGCTGTGGCCGAAACGCAGCCACAGAGGGACGCCTGGCCAGAGCTAGCACCAGAGTGCTTAGCCATTTGAAGTGCAGTTGGTTTGAAAACAACTAAATCATGACAGATTCAAAAAAGATGTCAGAATATAGGAGAAGGGAGAATACAGGAGAAGGGAACATCACTGCTTAGAAATACACGTGGCTGTAAAAACATCAGGTCTTCATATATTTTCATATTGCAGTTACAGTGAAGATGGAGACAGTAAAGTCAGGACAAATAAAATATGAGCTGTATTGGAAAATGGAGCTGAATTTACTAAGCGAATAACCTTTGACTATTACTCGCTCTAAAACATGAAATGATTTGTTATATAATTCAGAATGACAGCCCCATTGCTTTTAAAATTACTTTTCAAGAAGATCTAGCTTAGAAATTGATTTTTAATTTCCTCCTCCTTAGAGAAAAATTTAATAATTTACCATGGAATATTTCTTCTTTTATTTTACATTGATAAAGATGAAACAATGATTAAATATTAGTTTAAAGTTTAATGAATAGTAATACACATTAAAAACAAAGTTACAGTATGTCATACAAATTTAAGTCCTTACTGGCAAAGGCTGAAACAGCAAAAGCGTCAAACTCGAATTACATGATGATGTGGCCTATTACATTTCTGATTGTTATGTGTGTAGCTTTAGCTACTATTGCACTGTAGCAGCTTTACAAATTGTAAGTTTTGATTTTTTTCTTTTTTCTTTTCTTCTTTCTTTCCTTTTTTTTCTTTTTCCTCCTCTCCTCTCCTGTCTTCTCCGCTCCACTCCTCTCCCAAAACCTCGGAGGTGTTCTCTCCATGGGCTTTGCTCCAGCAATGAGCCAGGAGCTCACCCAAACTCCCTGAGCTGCCTCTCCCTTCTCATACAGCCAGCTGACATGTAATGAAGGAGTTAGAGCAGGTTAGATTAGTAACTGATTAGTTTAAGGTTGATGGAGACCTTTTAACTCTATTTTTCTGCTGTTTGGAACGGCAGTTGGTTTTATCATTTATCTGCAATACATTCTCTGGTCTAACTGGAAAAATTAGAGAGTAGCACGTGGTTGATAAAAAGAGGCGCATATAGGAAAAATCTCAGCAAGGACTCATACACGCTACAGGAATTACTGCGTCAAATTCTGTAGTTGATAAACATATGAATATATATATAAGCATATAAAAGTATATAAGCAGCTGTGGTAGTTCTTGCTTACGCTAAAACTGAGGAATTGCCCGGCTCCTCTGAGGCCTTGTTCTGAATAGTGTTTCTCCCAGCTAACTTCGGTTCCCTGAAAGTTAGCTGTCCAATATAAGCAAGCTGTGTCAGCTCCCTTTATACGCAATGCAGATTTATGTACTAGTAGAGGCAAATTATTCCTGTCGTCCTGGACAGTTCAGATAGGGATACTAATGCTCTAGACGCACGTCTTCACTGGTTGTCAGAGGAGCTGAGACAACTAATTTAAATCATATGCCTAAGCATTAAACAGTTAAAATTATCTGGATAATACCTTAGATTTCCTTCCTTCCTTAAGTCTGACTCTTACGATATCAAAAGAAAGAAAAAAAAAGATGTTCAAAGTACGAATAGGGTATAGAGAGACACAATAATGGTTGCCTGAGTGGAAAAGTGCTTGAAAAAGATTTGCTAGAAAAGTTTGATAGAACATGCAAACTGATAAAAAGTTACTATGCAAATGTCAAAGCAGAATTAACTTGATTTGGAGAGCACAGGTAAGAAAAACGGGAATGATTATACTGCAAAGACGTGCTGTAAGTGGCACCTCAGTTTGACACTGGAACGTGGTGGAATTGATTGTGCCTGTTGAACAGTGTCACCTGTAATTTCCCATTGGATTCCTGCCTACAGCTGACGTGGAGAGAAGTGCCTCTTCCAGCTTGAACCACGAACTGGATGCCTGCTTATTCTATCCCAAATATTTGAGCCATGCATACAGCAGCTCAAGTTAGGCCCTTAAAGAGCACCAAAACACAATGGCAACACATTGCTTGGAATAGGTTTCTGTTTCCTTGAGAGGTGCTGTTTCAATATAAAGAGGGTTTTGTGAGATAAATTGTAACAGTGAAAGTAAGCTAGTTCTTTTCCTGCCCTTTGGTTTGGTTTTGTGTGCTTTTTTTTTTTCTCCTTGTAAATTTTCATCGTCACAGAAAGTGAACAGCAGAGTGTAACCAGATTCTGGTTAAGGTCCAATGTCTAATGTTTCTGTTAATGATCTGGAAGGGAAGAAAACAGAATGGAAGGAAAAAATGTACAGATTACAAAAATGCGTCCAAATTAAGCCTTCAGAGGAAACTAACTATATGCCATCCGGAGTAATTTATATGAAGAAGGGTAATATTTAAGGTACTTATTTCTCTTACAGAGTTCTGAATAACTCATGGCAGTGACCTAGGGATCGGCATGGATATTTACACAAATAGGAGGTGTCAGACAAAAGCTACAGAATACAGGGAGATTGAAGAAATTATAACTTTACCAACTCACAGACCACCACAACTTTCTCACTTACGCTACTGTGCAAAAGTACGAGTCCTTCCTAGAGCCCTTCAAAGGGCTCAAAGCACAGGAAATACGTAAAGGCTGGGACTGTTTGCTCTAGAAAAGAGACAAATAAGCAAGAACTCACTAAAATGACTTAAGATAAAGAAGGGTCCAGAAGAAGCAGAGGGGAGCATCTCTTTGTTTAACAGCACAAGAGCCTGGAGGCATAAAGTGAAAACAACTGGCAAATTCAAAACTGAGGCAAAGGAATGCATCTGTCACTCACTGTATGGTTAATATTGATTGCTCTCATGAAAGCTGCTTCCTCTCCCTACAAGCCTTGCTCCACTTACTTCTTCAGACCCTTGTGTTATAACATTACTGCTAGGATTGCTGTAGTATGTAATGAAGGTTGAAAGTTAGACAAGACTCAGGAAGGAAAATATTTAAAGATCTGATATTCAATACTTATACCTGTGTAATATCTAAAATATATTAAATTACAGTTAGAAAGAGATATTAAGCCTCTTATTTATGGCTTATAGCAATTTTTAACCAGCAAGGATTAGAGAGGTTTCTTCTACATCCCTTACAAGTACCTGGTGTTAGAAACAAGATTAAGGATTACAAAAGAGATTGTGTATTACTAATTTATGTGACCGTACAAGTTAAATTAATTCAATGGAATCTGCAAACTCTGATTTGGAAGGACAGTCTTTCAAACCACAGCCACAGAGAAAACTAAGGAGTACTTCAGTAGTTATCTATTACAAGAGATCTTGGGCTGGCGAAAAAAGAAACTTGGAGCCCTAAAAAGCTTCTTGCTTTCAGGTTCACGTTTCAGAGGACAGCATGTAACATTGCAAAACAGGGCCTTGCGAAAGCAGTTCCCTCTCCGCGGCAGCTGACTGCTGCTGCCTTTTGTTCAGGTGCCAGGCTGTGGTGAAATGCAAGGACGCGTGGATGTAGGCTATTACACAGGGGTTCACAGGATCAGGCTCCTTACTTGTATTGTTTTACTGTCCCGCAAAGAAGATACTTTTGTCAGTGCTATCATCAGTCTTCCTTTTTCCCTCTTTGGTGTCATCTTTCGGTTGATGATAACCTTTACCTGATTTCCAGTGCAGTTGGTGGCCCTTTACATGGCCTGAGCTACCTATTCCAGCGTTTCTGCTAAGTGGACAAAGCCCAGTGCCTGCCGTTAGCTAGTCGTCCTTGGCTAGTACAAAAGTTTGCATACGGATGAAGATATCTTAAGCCAAAATAATGTAACATCAGAGCTAGCCAAAGCAATGAGGTGAGACTCATTCCTACCATCTGAAAATCCAGTTTGCTTTGGCGGGGGGGGGGGGGGGCAAAGACTTC